TAAATCAGTCGTCGACGATTTTGATAGTCGATGTAATCGTGACTAGTCGACTAATCGTGGCAGCCCTACTGGGCAATGAGCTAAATTTACATTTTACAATACGAGCCCACACAGTTGCGCTAATCAATTTCTGTCAGCAGCATTTCTCCATCGTGTGGAAAAATGACCCGCTGTCACCACAGCTCTTCTTTTCCTTATATTGCGATATCTCTGGGATTAACTGTGCAGCGGCAGAAAGGGGAATTTTCCTGGTCTGGTCCACTTAAGATTAAAGCAGCTGTATGCGGCCCATCAGATATACGGCTTGAGATTAGAGACGCTCTTACCTAAAGAGTGGACGCTGCCCGCTTTTCCTGACAATCCACTCACAGCTCAGGTAATTGCTCCTGCTTGTGCAACTTTTCCTACCACACTTTCCATTAACATGCTTCAAAACAGCTTTGCTGTGGCATAAACTCGCTCTTCATCTGGACAGCTGTCGAGTCAGCGTTCTTCCCAACGACTGTGGTTACTAAACTAAGAGTGACGAGTAATTTACTCACACTGAAAATGAAATACTTCAATAATTTGAGGAACTGAATAACTGAGTTATAGGCCATCGTCAACAAAATAATAACATTTACATGAATGTTTACCTTTTTGAATAAAATGATAAACTTTTCACAATACTTGACATTTTTGAGATGCACTAATATACACTCAATGTGCATTTTGTGTAGCACCATTTGCACATATACATTTCATGTCTTCATGAAGGAAAAAATAGTTACAAAATAAATAAATATTAGATTTTAGAGGAAAATCTTGATTTAATTAAGAAGAAGGCAGCAGGAGACATGAAGGAAAGCTTAGATCCAAATTAGACTGCATGCACTAAACAGATCTGGTACATCTGCTGGTCTAACAGGAGAGAGTCTATTAAGCGAGAAAAGAAAGTTAGCAGTTTGTTTGATTTTGACTTTCGTCGTGGACAGAAAGGGTCAAACTTACTATAGGTCCGTTTGCGTGTTGCTGTTCGTTACTTTGGTCCTTAAAATTTTAAGAAGACAGTGTTAGACTCATTGTATGTGAAGGTTCAAGAGTCATTTCATAAAAGCATCGCGAGCATCTGCGGTGCAAACGAGGCCCGGGCCTCTCACGCTAAGCTCCAAAACTTTTCCCAAGTTGCCACATACAGCGATCCTTTCATCACACGGTCAAATCCAGACTTGCCACTTCTTTAGTAGTAAAAACGACAAGATTGCACTACCCTGTGAGATCATCCACGTGTGTTTTTTGTTTTCCTTATCAAACAGCTAACAAAGCAGAAACGATTGCTCCACTTCCTGCTGAACAGAACATGTGATGAAACGAACACTGGGCAACACCCTCACCAACCACCGACCCAGATAGCAAGTGTAAGCAGGGAACTACCCCAGGGATGCGAGGTAACACAGTGCACACTCATGTGGTTTCACAAGAACAATGGTTATGAAGAAATGGCAGACTGCAGAGAGCGGACTCGTGCTGTGCTTACCTTGGCAATCTGCAGCAGTACAATACAGTGCTTGATGGACTCTACCATACTCTGAAAGGGAAAAATTACAGAGCAATTAATTAGGAAGGAAGTGACTTTAAACCCAACAGGAAGGAAAATGTGCTCATTCTCTGACTTACACAAGTAGTCTCCTTCAAATGTTCAATTTTCTGTCGAAAGAACAGAAAGAAGTAAAAATGAGGTTAAAGAGCAGAAATACAGACGCCTGACTGGCTTCAGCTGGGGCTGTGAAAGGTTTGATGCAGTCGGCACAAGCAACAAGGTAAAGTGACCAAAAGCTGGTGTTAAAATCAAAGAGGAAGTGGACATATAACCCCAGAGGCTAGTGAGACACACTGAAGGTTAAACGTTTACACCTCTAATCTTCAAACATTAGAAGATCTGCTCGGAGAACTGACCGGGCCTGAGAGGAGCTACAGAAAAAGGAAGATTGTAGTTTGAACAATAGTCCCTTTTTTACATCATGTGCTTCTTAAATTGTCCATTAGCCCGTTAAGTGACTGAGAAAATGAACCACAAACTAAAAAACTGAACTACTGAATCGATCAGCCTCGCAGTCGCCAGCAGCTCGGTCCAAGCTGAGGGTAACGTATGGCGTGAGTAGAGGTGGCGGTTTTGGTTAAGCTTAAAGCAACACTGGAGAACAGACGGGTCCTTTGTCAGGACTACTGATCTTCTTCATGCATCTTTCCCCCATAAAGACGACGTCTGGTGACGTCCTCTGAACCATTAAGGAGTTCTGACACCTCAGCATTCATAAATAAAGATGTGGTTTGATGACTATTAGAGTTTCTGGGATTTTCCAACAGATAGGCAAAGACTTCTAATGCACATCCAGTCATTTTGGACTCTAACAGGCCTGAAATAAAGCTGAAACCACTCAGTTAAGGAAAGCGCTTCAACGGTTACTCCTTGAAGGATTAATTTTTATTCTTCATGGCTGATAAATAAATAAATATCGAGGGGACTGAACTTTAGCTTTTGGAATAAGAGGATCACTTTGAAATCACTGCTGCTTTAGGCCAGTTTGGAACAGAAATATCTGCGATACACCGACAGCTATCAGTTTCCATTCGCCTCCTGCTCCTTTGTCAGCAGCGGCTCTAATGATGCTGGACCGGAGAGGCGAGACGCGAGGACAGAGCTGCTGATACTCACTCTGCGTGATTCATCCTCTTTGCAGTCCTTGATCTTCTCATCAAACAGCTGTGTGGACAGAGATGAAAGAAAGGTTAAAAACCAGAAACATGGAATAAAAGCTATTCCACTGTCAGATGACACAGTGGAAAACTACTGAGAGCTTATCTAAGGAAGGACATGTTACGTGGTTTCCTTAAGATGCTGTGTCTACTTTCTTTAAATATAGTATCTGGTTTGTCACCACAAATCTAACTCACAAGAACTTCTGCTTTACTGAAAAGTCGACTCAGATGAGCAAGGAAATGCTCGCTGACACAGATTCAATCTATAAATAAAGGATGAGAAGCCACTGAACTCTACAACATCTATATCTACCTCACGCTGTGCACCACACTGGATTTCCGTCCTACCTTTAACTGATCAATCAGAATCTGTAGGTAGGCGTCAGCTTCAGCTAGCTTCTTGTCAAAGTCTTGAACACTAGGAACGAATCCCGTCTCAGCCTCCTAAAGACGAGGGAAGAAACACAGTTGAGCATCGGTGCAGTCCTCCACGCAGGTGTTGCAAAAGGTATTTGCATATTCAAAGTAAAGCACAAAACCACAGTCCATGAATCCAAGCTGTGTATTCACATATTTATCTGTTCATTTACCAAAAAACAAACAAATAAAGGGGAAAAAGCCTCTCGTATCATCACCTCCTGCTCAGGTAGGCTTTATAAACGGTTACACAAAACGGTGGAGAGAAACATCAACAGTTCAGGAGAATTTTCCAGCAAGGTAGCGTAGTGAGGGAGACATGAGTACTATTGTTTGAAGGCTCGTCTACATGAAAGGCCAGCAGGTCTGTCTGCTTGCCTGATGGAGGCCAACTCGTTTCAGGCCCCGAAACAAAACTGAAATCAGGACTCATGACCGGAGAGCATTCGGTTGCAGACAGAACGTAACACGCTGAGGTGCACTCAAATTCATTGTTTGTTAGTTAGCTTCCCCCAGACTTCACACACACACAAACATTGTTACATAATAGCCATTAAAAGGTAATTACTAGACTATTGGCAGAACAGACGTGACCAGGCATCTGTCTGCCTGTCTGTGCTCACCCACCAAAGCACCCAGAACAATCCAGTAAGCTGTGACACAAAACCAAAAGACAGGAAAACGGGAAAAAAATAATTCACCCTCATTTAATCACCGAGGCTGTCAGCAGCAAGGACA